CTGGAATAGGATGATCTTTGAGGTCCCTTCCAACCCAAATCATTTTATGAATCTACTTTACCTAATCATGGTAAATACTGTGGTAACTGTGGATTTGTGTCTCATGTATTTGAATTGTATTTCAGTCTGTAGTACAGCTTATTTTAGTCCTTCCAAGCTCCTGTTTCTCTAACATTTTTCAGATGCTGAGTTCCATACAAAAAATGCGGGCACCTGGTGTCACAGACATATTTTATGAAAAATCCTTTTGCTAGGATCTTTCCTCCTGAGAATCTGAGAGGCCTCAGGAATGAAATGTAAACAATAATTATCTGCTGCTGTGGAATGCAACGGGTGCATCTTTGATTGGTCTCATGTGGTTGTTTTTAATTGATGGCCAATCACAGTCCAGCTGTCTCGGACTCAATGGTCAGTCACAAGATTTTATTATTTATTATTCCTTTGCTAGCCTTCTGATGAAATCATGAAATCCTTTCTTCTATTCTGTTAGTATAGTTTTAATATATAATTTTCTTTTAATATAATATATATAATAAATATATTTATATAATATTATATATTTATAATATATAATATATTTTATACAATATTATATTAGATTTAATGTGTATTATATATGTTATAGAAATATATAATATTATGTATTATGATATATAATATTATATATATTTATATAATATATATCATAAAATAATAAATCAGCCTTCTGAAACATGGAGTCAAGATTCTCATCTCTCGTCCTGCGAACACCACCACAACCTGGCATGTGCTGTGGGGGTTCATCTGTGTTTGTTTTCCTGGGGCAGGGCTGTGCTTTTCCCTTGACCCGCGTGTGTCTCTGCTCTCCCCAGTGTACGGGCACAACGTGAAGAGCAGCAACGACTTCATCGGCCGGATCGTGATCGGGCAGTACTCGACGGGCGCCCCCGAGTCCAACCACTGGCGCCGCATGCTGAGCGCGCACCGCACGGCCGTGGAGCAGTGGCACAGCCTGCGCTCCCGCGAGGACTGCGACCGCGTCTCGCCCGCCTCCCTCGAGGTGACCTGAGCCGGGTGACCCGCGGCAGGGCGGGCGGACGAGATGAGAACCGAACCGACCACTGAAGCTCCCGCCTCACGCCCCGCACGCGCCCCGCGGCAGCTCCGTTGGATTCGCGCTGGCACCCGGCTGTGCTGGCCTCAGTGACCCCACTGGGCCCAGCTGTGCCCCCGGGGCCGGGCAGCTCATGCCGTGGCAAGCACGGAGTGGGTGCAGGAGCTGGGAGTTGCCTCTGCTGTCCTTCCGGTCCAAATCCATGGCTCATCCTCTCGGAGATATAAGTACCCGTGTGCTCTCGTTGGTGAACGTGGTAATTAGGCTAGAATATTTTTTTAAACGGTAGAACCTGTGGTGAAATCGATTCTGACTGCAGTTTTGTCCTTGTAGTAGTTTTACCAGAATTAAGCTGCTGTTAGTGTGTGTGCTTGTGTGCCCACGTGGGACAGATCCCATGTCCCGTCAGCGGTGACCTGCCAGTCTCCATAGCAGTCTGTGTGTGCAGTAGATTCAGTGCTGATATAGCAAAATAAACATTTCCAATAGCATCTGTACTGGGAAAACCAGCTCACGTCCTTTCAAACATGTGCTGTGCAAAAAACCACCTGCTCCAGGGACTTTGGCGGTTAAGAAGACCCAGAAACCACAATTTTAATCTCTCACAGACTGCAGTGGCTCTTTCTGTGTTGTGTGTGTTTACCCAGGTAGTTCTTCAGGTCACCAAGTGAACTTAGCTACAGTCAAGCTGTCCTGTTGGTTGCTTCTGTACATTTTATTTTTCCACAACATATTGTCTGGTATGATGGAGATTGTATATTTATTGAAAATAAAATTCTATTTAATTGTGCCATATAGATTGGGGTGACACTTGTTGAATTCACCTTTGTGTTGAGCTCCTTCAGTTATGCTTATGGCAGAAAAAAAGCCAAAAAGTTGGCAATTACCCCGTTGTCACTCACTGCAGATGAACTGGGAGCAGTTTGAGAGAAACTGGGCTGCTGGAGATGGGTGTGGAGAGCCAGCTGGATGCCTTGGTCTGGCCATGGTGCTTCTCAGCCAGACCCCAATAACACCCTGGGGGTTGGATGTGTCAGACTCCAGGGATGGCACATGGCAGGATGGGCAGCACTCATCTCCCTCCTCTATTCATTAAATGAAACCCCAGTACCTCTGTGCTTTTAATACTTTGATTTTTAAAAAGGAAAAACCAATACACATGACTATTTCACCTGTTTATTATTTATCTGCTACAGTTAGGGACAGGTGAGTCTCAAAAAGCAAAACAAAACCCAACCAAAACAAAAAAGCTCAGCGCTTGCTTTGGCAGGTGTCAGTGTGTGGGTCAATAATCCCTGCTGCTGTCCAGGTGTTCCTGCTCCAGGGCAGGTCTGTGTAGTTACTCTGATATCAGCACCCCTTCAGCACTTTGCCCATGCCTGGCTCCTGCTGCTCCCCAGCACAGCTGCTCTGTGCCAGCAGCACTCACCAGCAGGGCACTGGTGCCTGCAGGGCTGTGCAGGGCCATCCTCTTCCTGAGCACACTGTGGATGCTGGCTATCAATTCTAACCTGCCTCTCTGCAAGGGGAATTTCTTCTCTGTCCTGCAGTGAAGTTGATGGCAAATCTGTGTTCTCTGGCATCCTCCTGGTTTGTCTCATCAAAAAATCACAGTGGAGTGGGACCCCATGGGCAGTCCTGGGCAAATGTGTGCTGTAGGAGGCTGATCTCTGCCTGTAGCTCACAAAGGCTCTGGCAAGGTTTCAGCAGTTACTGTGGTTGACGTGACTATTCTTCCATGTGAGTCCTGTGGACAGCAGAACGAGCTCAGGACATCCATGAGAGCAGACACAAGCTTTGCTCAGCACTGGGGATGAAATGTGAACAGAAAGTAATCTTGCCTGAGTCTGTCCTTGAAGTCATGAGGTGTCTGTTCCACAGGAGGAACAGTCAGGATGCCAAAAGGTGGTGAGGGTGCCCAGAGGGAAGGTCAGCAGGAGCAGAACAGAAGCAGACTGGGGAGCTCCTGGCTGCAGAGCAAACAGAACAGCGAGGGAGGGAGAGGAGCAGGAGGCATGAATCGTGGCCATGCTGCTGGGGCTGCAGCCAGCAGGTGAAGCTCATCTGATGTTTGGTGAAGTTGGAAGGTAACCAAAGGTGCAGCTGCAGCTGGCACTGCATGCACGGTGTGCCTGCACTGTCGTCGTGCTGGCAGCAGAGCTGGTGCCCAGCTGCTGTGCCAGGCTCAGGGCTGTGCCTCAGGGGAAGCCCAGAACTCCCAGCTGCACTGGGGGACGCCGCTGCCATGAGTCTGGCTGTTAGAAACCAGCATAAAAATTAGTCAGGATCTCTGCTCCCTCTTTAAACACGAATATTCGTGCTTTGGGAGTAGATTAATATGCTCAAAGGTTTTTGTTCCGTAGTTTGCTAGAAGTTGTTTGTAACACTGGCTTTATCTAAGGATGGTGCACAGGAAAGAAGGGAAAAGACATGTCTTGACTTCTAATAATCCAAACTCCTTAATTTTTAGTGCTCTGCTGTTGCAGTAGGCTTTTCCTTGAGCCAAATAATTTCAGATCAATGTATGGAAGGGGGGAGGTGTTCTTAAACAGCTTTATTTAGTATGAAGAAAATATAGAAAAGTTGATTGAATGAGTTACTGTCTCTGGAGTAAGTCTGGATGCTTTACTGTACTGAAAGCTTGGTGTCACCCCAAAATGTTTATACTTGAATCTCTAAAAATGGGTCAAAAATGCTGAAAATTTTAATCTGTAGCTAATAATAAAGAGGGAACAGCATTGAGAATGTTCCTAGGCAGTTCCTTCAGTGCTGATTTAAGGCATAAATTGGAAATTGAACAGAACCACTAAATTGTATAGTATCTGTGCCTGTACTATTTCCCTTCGGAGTGCAACGGTTAGAAAAGGATTTTATACAGTGTTTTTAAAAATCTGACGTTTATGTCTAACAAAACGTTGACCACAGGAAGGAGACACGCTGGATTACATGGGTACAGACTGCTGTATCATATCAGGTTTTCCGCTGCATGACGGCATGGACCCAGCACGGACCTGGCAGATGGGCACAGAGCGAATTCCTGAAACAGCCTTGGAGCCCCGGGCACAGCTGAGGGAGGGATCCTTCTTCCAGGCTCTTTAAGCGTGTCAGCGCATTGCCTTGCCCTGGGAAAAAATCCCAAACCAAACATGGGAGAAAAACCAACAAACCCCCCAAACCAAACCAAACCAAACCAAACCAAACCAAACCAAACCAAACCAAACCAAACCAAACCCACCACACAATGGGGCACTAACGCGTTAATAAGCCCCACAGCCCTGCAGCCCTTGAAGCCTTTCCCTGCCTCTCTCCCCGGTGTTCGCTGCCGCAGCCGCCGCTCCCCGGTGTGCAGCGGGGTCCCGTCTGTCACCCCCGAGGTGACGGGCTGTCCGAGGGGCGCTGCGGGATGGGGACACCAAACACCGCCTGGGGGGCGAGCAGGGATGATGTCCTTACTCCTCTGCGGCCGAGGGGGGTGACAACAGTGCTCGGGGGGCAGCGTGCGCCCGAGCCGGGCTGGGGCAGCGCACGGACCCCGGCCCGGCCCCGGCCCCGTCTGGGCTGCGCGGAGCGGGGCTGGGGCCGGGCTGGGCAGCGCTGAGGGTGCGGGTCCCGTCTGGGATGTGCGGAGCCGGGCCGGGGGCGGGCTGGGCAGCGCTGAGGGTACGGGTCCCCTCGGATGCGCTAAGCGGGGCCGGGGCCAGGGGCGGGCTGCGGAGGAGCCGCCGCTCGGGGGAGGGGGCAGCCCGGCCCCTATATCCGCCCCGCCCGGCGGCCGCCCCAGAACCCGCGGGGCCCGGCCCGAGCGCGACCCCCGCTCCCGGAGGGACCCCCCCCAGGCCGGCCGGAGCCCGGCGGGACCCGCAGCCGGCGGGACCCCGAGCGCGGAGCGACCCCCGGGGCTCCGGCCATGGGCCGCGGGCGGGCCCTGTGCGCGCTGCTCGCCGCCGCCCTGCTGGCCGCGCAGGCCTTCCCCCAGACCAACATCAAGATCAGCCAAGGTGAGTGCTCGGCGCCGGCAGCCGGGACTTCATCGGGCATGGTGGGGCAGGGAAGGAGCGTGTGCCTCCCGCAGGGCCGGCAGCTGCTCCAGAAATCCCTGACTTTCCTTGAAATCAACTTCTTCGCCATGGGGACGTGCCAAGGGCAGCCCCCGTCCTTGCTTGGGGATGCCAGAGGTCTCTGGGCTGGCTGTGTCTCTGTGTGCCAGGTCAGCTCTTCGGCCTTTGCCAACAGGCACTGCCGCCGCTCGGGGCCGTGCTCTGCCGTGGGACCGGTGTGGGGAATGAGGCAGGAATGAGACACTCATGGAGGGTGCAGGGCTGTGGCAGGAATGAACACACTCATGAAAGATGCAGGGCTGTGGCAGCAATCCTTGCACACTCATGGAGGGAGCAGGGCTGTGGCAGGAATCCTTGCACACTCATGGAGGGTGCAGGGCTGTGGCAGGAATGAGGCACACATGGAGGGTGCAGGGCTGTGGCCATGCAGCCCAGCAGGACAGGCTCCTCGTTTATTCACATTTACTGCGTGTGAAACAAACACAGGATTCTCCCTTATTCCCCTTCTTTGCTCCAAGCTGCTGCTGACTGCTGAATCTCACTTGGGTTTCTTCCAAACTTTTCCACGGTGTCAGTGCAAGTGGGAGTTGCTGCACAAGTTTGCTTGAACCCTGTTTGGTTTACTGGGGCTGTGAGTGGAAAGGGATTCCTCAAGTGCTGCTTGGTGAGATCGTGAGAAAAGGGATCAATACAAGCCTGGCTTTCCTGCCAGACGCCTAATCCGTGGGAGCTTCGCCAAAACTAATTAAGGGGGAAAAATCTCTGCAAGATAACTTCTATCTGTCAGTGCCAGCTGCAAGAGCGTTGCTGCTGGTATTGGCTGTAGCCTCCCAACTCCAAACATGCAGAGGATTTGAAGCTGTAAAACCAGCTTGGTTTCATTAAAGAATTTTACAAAGCAATGCCCTTGGTTTGAGAGGATGTCCCTCCCAATGTGCTTCATCTGATGTTTAATATTTTACTTGAAAACTTGTGACATGTGCCTTAAAATCCTTCGGGGTGTGTAAAATATTGCCCAGTTGTGGGATTGCTGTCCATCAGTGGACATACCTTCCCCTGTAGCTCCATACAACCCCCAGATACAGAGACCAAGGTCCCTCCCCTGATCACATCCTTCAAAGGTGGATGCTCAGTGTGAGACTCTTTCATCTGTTAATGAAAAACAAATATTGCAAGTAACAGGAAGGTGGCATTGTTTGCCCATGGTGACTGGAATGTCAGGGCTTCAGGAGTTGCTTCTAAAGCCATGGGTGAGTGGAGGCATCCCAACATCACACAACAGCACTGTCTTAGTCCCTGCCACATGCTCCTGCCCTCCAAGCCCCTGTTTAAATGCCTCTTCTGTGGGTTTGCTCAATAAGGGGGGATGTGGAGGGATGGAGCTCTGGCTCAGCTGGCACCCCAGCTTAGCCACGGGCAGTTTCTGCTGGAGTCATGCTGGGGGTGGTTCTGGGGCTCCCCTGTCCCAGCCCTGCTGTCTCCCCATCCCCTCCAGCTCCCCAGAGCTGCAGCAGTGCAGAGCCTGGGTGCAGCCCTGCTGCTGCAGGGGTGCCTTGGTGAGCTCCAGGACGCTGCTCCTGAGCCCCAGCTCTGCCGGCTGGGACCCCTGCCCATCCCTCACTGTCACCACCTCAGCCCTGGGTCCTGGTGGAGGGGCTCTGCTCTGGGCAGGCCCCAGGCATCCCCATGACAGGATCTCCTCAGCTCCTCTCTGTTGGCACAGGCTTCAGATCAGCCTTTGGGGTGTTGAGGGGCGCTCTCCAAACCCAGCTGCTGGCCAAGAGCTGAAGAGGTTCACTTGCCTTCTCAGGTCAGATGGCAGCATTAGCTTGCGGATGTGCCAAGGGGGTGTCTCCTAGCACCTCTGAGGTCTGAGGAAAGCTGTCAGCTGTTGATTACATGGGGTTCTTTGATTCTCTGCAACAAGAGCATCTGCTGCCAGCCCTGAGCTGAGCTGGTCTGCTGTCCAAAACCCTCTGATGGAGCTGCAGCCCCTCAGGAGCCCTCCTTGCCTGGGCATCTCTTGCCAACCTTGTCCTAGCCCCAGATTTCACATCTCATACCTACAGATCCCTGCAAGTGAGGCAGCATTGCTCCTTGGGATGAAGTTTTCAGGAGCAAACCTGCTCTCCACCAGCTGAGTCCTGGGGAGCCATGCAGCTGGTGGTAGGTTTTTTCCCAGTAGCATCCTGAAATGAACAGAAGCCCTTGTGAAACTGGCTAGGATTTTCTCAGTTAATTATTTCTAGTTGGAAATAAGCCAGCTGGGGAAGTGAAACTTTTTTGGCAGAGCCATGCCAGCTTCTGTAAGATTTTGAAAAGTGATTTTCCTGGTAGTTCTACAGTGGGGCTCAGCGAGTAAATAAATAGAAAAGCTCCAATTTGGCACTGACACAAATGCAGAGAGCACAAAACTTTATTTCTGACCCCAAATATTTGTTTTCCAGCTTTTCTGAGTTAGTAACAGCTGCTTGATCTGAATCTTATTCTCAGCCAAGTCCGGACATTTATTTTGATGGAGCTGCTTTAAAACGTGGTCCTCCTTTAAAACTGCTGCATTGTAAATTAAAAAAAAAAAGGGTAGAAAGGATTCTTGCAGTCATTTTTCACCAGGAATTTGGGGACAAATGGATGGAGTGACTGGGGATTGGCAGGAACCCCATGCTGCAGGCACTGGCTGGGCTGATCCTGCCCTGTGTGGAGGAGCTGATGTTTTGCTGGTCATTTAGACCCAATTCTCACTTTCCCTAAAAGTGAGGATTTGATCTAAAAAGCCTCCAAATGCTTCCCTTGTCACCTTCTAGATCAAAATACCACACACAGCTGCTGGCTGGGGTTGTGAGGCTTTCCTGCAGAGCCATGAGTAGGGCCCTATACTCACAACCCTACATCAGATTTCTTATGGTTTTTCTGCTACAAATATTTCAAATAAAGCAGCTCCCCTAATTGTTCCTGTCTGATAAACTGGGACCAGTAGTTCTCCTCCAAAGAGACAGACAAAGCCTCTGATCCTGACCTAACAGAAAAGATGCTAATTAAAAGCTGACCTCCCATATTTTCCTTTTTGGTACATTTAACCTTAAATTCCTTCAGGCACCTCTGGTTCACCGAAGCTCATCAAATTAATGCTACCTAATGGGAACCAGTATGGAATAACAAAGCAGGGCTGTCTCAATTTCTGACTTGCTCTCAGCTGCTCTGAGCAAACATGAGGGTGATTTTCCCTGGAGTTGGGGTGCCTGGGGGTGGTTTTCCCTGGAGTTGGGGTGCCTGGCTTTGAGGCAGGGCAGTGGGACACCCACTGCAATTAGCACTGGGGAGTGAAGGCTCCGTTTGCTGGGGATGCTGGTGGGTGAAGCCCTGTGAATTTTGCCACCGTGCTGCTAGAGGTGAGGATTTTGTCAAGGCATTACAATAAAACCCCAATTGCTGGAACAGCTGGTGGTGCCTTGTCTGGCACAGACCTCTGGGCTGTCCTTGGCAGGAGGGAACAGCAGCCCTGAGTCTGTGCAAGCCAGGATCAGATCCCAGGCTGTCCTTTCTGGGGGTACATGCCTCACCTGTGAGCTGTGGTAAAGCTGAAGCCTCATGCTGAAGGTTTGACCCTTGTTCTGCTTTGGTTTTGGTGGAGACAGGGAACCCTGGCCAGCATCATGAGGGGAGGAGGGCTTGGCTCCAGGAATCACATCAGCTTTTGGGGTTCTTGGTCCTGCTCTATTGCTCCACTGAAGTAGTTTGTGTCTCCTAGGGCTGTTCTAAGGATTTTCCCAGTGCACTTGTGGCTGGGTGTGAATCAGAGAACTGAACTCTGCCTTGCTGCTGAGCTGTCTTTGTCTTACCCACTCTCCCCAAAAGCTATTTTGCTCTCCCAGCCCAGCAGGCCTTATCTTTTGTCTCCTCCACAGCCCATAATTGGTGGTGCTGAGGATGGGAGAGCCCCTTGAGCCCCTCAAGGGTTTGTTGCTGTAGGATGCAGAGCTGCCCCCAGTCAGCTCCTCTGGAAGGATGCCTGGGGATCCCAAGGCAGGCTGATGGGGTGACAGCCCCTCAGGGCTTGGCAGTTGATTTGGCCTTGCTCAGGAGGAAAAAAATGCTCTTTGCCTTTGTGGTTTGTCACCCGGAGGGGATGTGGCAGCAGGGACCCCGTGGGCTGGCTGGTGGCTGTTTGTAGAGCCCTCAGAGATCCCCATGTGGAAAGAGCTGATGAAAGATGCAATTATCACCCAGAGCTGCCAGCACTGGCACAGGGAGTGATTTGGCTCTATCAATGCTCACACAGCTGCTTTGGATTCACCTTGCCTCTCTTTTTCTCCGTGCTGTTGCTTCCTTTGCCACATCCCTTGCTGCTGCTGGCAGTTTTGCTCTTCCCTCAAGGAAAGCCATTCCCCTGGCCCCTCAGTGCTGGAGGCACCACCCTGACCTCTCTGGGCTCGAGGCTGTTACCTGCTTGGATGGTCTGATGGCATCTGACATCTGCCCTCACCCCCTGCACCCACCCTGCCCACTGCCCACTGGCCTCCACAGCAGCACTGACCCCAGCCACAGCTCCCTGGGATGTGGAACTGCCTCAGGGGGGCTGGCAATCCCCCCACGTTCACAAACCAGCAGCTAAGAGAGTTAATCTGGGTGCCCCAAGACCTGAGGGTCCTGAGGGCTGCATCCTCCCCACACGAGGGGGAGCACAACACGGAGGAGGTTGGAGCAATGTGTTAATGCCACTGCTGTGTTTAGACAGCGGCAACTCCAAAGGCTCCAAAAGGACATCCTGCCCCCACAGGGGCCTCTTCTGGGACAACTTCCCCTCTGTGCTGAAAAGCAGCAGGGGAGGAGCAGCAGCAGTGGCAGGGCTGTTATCTGTGGTGGGAAACCTTTTGGATAGGCTGTTATCTGTTGGATAGGCTGTTGTCTGTGGTTGGATATCTGTTGGATAGGCTATCTGTTGGATAGGCTGTTGTCTGTGGTGGGATATCTGTTGGATAGGCTGGCACCACCGGTGGCACACGCGCCTCACTGGCTGCTCCTGGGCTGGGACCCTGTGCCTACGTGCACAGCTGCATCCAGGGACAGGGACAGGCCATGGAGGGGGGTTCCTTGGGGGAAGGAGGTGCAGGCTGTCCCTGCAGGAGGGCAGAACCCAGCCTTAACCCCACAGCCCTGGCTGTCAGCTCCCCTCCCAGCACAGTGGCTCCAGTGGTGCTGATAGAGACAAGAGGAGCCCTTATCTTGGTTTCCTCAGTAGCAAATGTCAGTGCCTTTATTTTAAGCATCCTCTGCCTAAAATGATGAAATGATGTCAAGCTAGCTTGGAATGTCCCTCCTGATTTAGGCAGATGCTAAAACTGAGAAACCCACAGCTTGTTTAAAACGTGTTTTGATTTCTGCAAAGTATTGCATGGCTCCTGCAGCTGCTGGGTTTTCCCTGGATGTGTTTGGTGGTCATTTGCCTGGGTGAGGTGGGAGAGCAGGGCTGGGCACTGCTGCCTCCATCACCTGCTCAGCTTCCTGGCCAAGCTGTCTCACCACCAGCTGCTGGATGTCCTGTGCTCTGCCCCCAGCCATGCCTGAGCCTGTCCATGCCTACTCCTGCCCGCTGTTCTGGACAGAGTACGAAGGGCACTGCTACCGCTACTTCCCCATCAACAAAACCTGGGCTGAGGCCGACCTCTACTGCGCCGAGTTCTCCATCGGCATCAGGTCAGCCAAGCTGGCCTCCATCCACAGGTGAGCTGTGCAGAAACATCATCCCACTGACACAGCCTGGGCAGGAAGGAAACTGGGGGCACAGTCCCATTCCCGCATCACAGCCTCTGTGTCAGCTGCAGGCTCGTGTTCCAGCCCACACATCCCTCTGCAGCAGCGGCCCAGTCAAGGCTGATGCACAGGTCACACAAAGGCAATATAGAAAATAAATGCCTTTTCCTGGACTGGCAGGAAACTGGCATGGTATTCCCTAAATTTCCCAAAACTGTGTTTTTTTACTGTTGAAAAAGGGATAGAAGTACAACATGATTACACAGGCTTTTTTCCTTACTCCCTCTCCCCCAGCTCTCACCAACACTATGCTCCTCTTGCACAGACCTGGGAAAGTAACCACCAGCAGTAGGAAGCTGGGGACCCATTTGCCCAGGGGTCCTGTGGTAGAGTGAGTGCTTAGGGACACTAAATGTGACCATTTGTTGACATATCCTGTTGATTGCCCTGTACTGCTCTGTTTTGCCAGCTGGCAAGAAAACGTCTTTGTGTATGACCTGGTGAACAGCCGCGTGCCCGGCATCCCCACCGACATCTGGACAGGACTCAACGACCTGCGGCAGGTGGGAGCTCCCTGGAATCCCGTGGGAAAGGCTTTGGAAAATTCACCTCTGTGTTTTCCTCCTGGAAAGCCACTTGGTTTTCTTCTTTACTCCTTATATCCCTGAAATCGGGAGGTGGCATAGAATCTGTGGTGCAGCATGTGGAGAAACTTATTTCACCCATTCCAGTCTGCTTTCAAAATAGAAGTGTTACTAGAATTAATAGATTAACCAATAATTACTGATATCACATTTTATTACAGGATTAATAGAAAGAGTATTGTACTGCTGGTCCAAGAAGAGCAAATTAACTGAAAAGGTCTTCAGTGTCAAAAACCACCGAGTTCCATTGTTCTCTTGTGCTACTCTGTGACTTTTGGAAGCTGACATGTTGGAAATATATAGTCTAATATGTTAGAAAGACAAATGGAGACCATCAGGAGAACAGTCTCATGTCAGCAATTTTTTTGTAGATATTGGAAAAGGAATGGAAAAGGAAAAGGAACGTAGAACTGGGTGGGGGTGTTAAAAATACATAGATTTGATTTCTGGGCTTCCCCTGGTGAGAAAATTGTGAGGGGCTGTTCTTGGCAAGTTTCCAGTTGTAAAACCCAAACGTGCTGTTTGGGCTTTGCTGAGTGGTGTCTGTCTGTGTCCCTGGGCTGTGTGGCACTGGGGATGGGGGTGGGCACTGCATGGGGGCGGCCTCCCACCCTCTACAGTCACAGCTCTGTGGTGACAGCCTCTCTCTGCTGGCCTCATGGCAGGAGGGTCACTTTGAGTGGACAGATGGCTCCTCCTACGACTACCAGTACTGGGATGGCAGCCAGCCAGACGATGGGATCCACTCCATCCCCGAGGAGGAGGACTGCGTGCAGATCTGGTACAGACACAGCAGTGGTGAGCACCCAGGGCACCCTCAGGGTTATTTGTGTGGCAATACATTCAATCTACTGCGGCTTCTGCTTTTCTGAAGAGGTTGCTGGCAGGCAGAGGATTTGCATTTTAATTTTTTGGTATTATGGTCTTTTTTTTCTTTACAGTGAAAAGGTGTTTTCCTTTTCGCCATGTACATATATGCATACATACTCATTTTCCCTCTGCTCCCATCTCCCTCTCCCATAGCAGCAGGGCAGGAGCATCAGCTGCCTTGAAGAATTACCAAATTTAGTCAAAGATTGAATTTCCCTATTTCCCCTCCCCCACGGGAAACCTATGGGAACACTCATTGTTTTGCCAGCTTATCTCTCCCATGCTTGGGCCAGGACATCTTGCTGAAGTGGGACAAGACCCTGCCTGTGCAAAAATCCCACTTCACACCTCCCTGCTGGTGAGACCAGCCAGGTGTGTCCAGGCCCCCCAGATGTACCTAAATGTCTGTCCATGGGCAGCCCATGGATAATTTTGGGGGAACAGGGCTGTGTTTGCAGCTGCCCCTCCACTACCAAGTCCAAGCTGGGGCCCAGCCTCCCCTCTCACATCTCCCAGGTGAGGATGCTGGGAGGAAGCACGGCAGTGAGTGGCACAAATGGGAGCACATCCAGGGAAAGACCCCCACAGTGGCAGGAGGCCCTGGTGCCAAGGGCAGTGCTTGGTTCCCTCCTTTTGCCTTTTTCCAGCTAATGCCTTGTGGTTTTTTGGAGGGTAGCACTGCGCTCCTGGAACGACAACGCCTGTGGTAGAGCCTTCCCCTTTGTGTGCAAGATCCCCTCGCTGGCCCTGGACTGAGGCTGCTGCTGCTGCTGCCCACACCCCCCTCATTCTGGGCCACCTCTCCAGCTGTGCTGGGCTAGAACAGCCAGGACATGGCATGGGCTGGCAGAGCCATGGAGCTGCCTGGATGCCCAGCCAGTCCCTGGCTGCAGAATCCCTGCTGGAGGATGGTGGGGATGAGCCTGGCACTCAGCACTGACAGGAGCTGCATTCAACAGCAGAGGAGCCCCCAGGCCCGAGTCTGGCTTTGGATTTCAGACCAACCATCACAGTGTGTTATGATTTTACCAGTACACCAAACTGTTAGCACCCAAAAATAGCCGTGTGTAGGAAATGCTTCTGCCTGTTGATCTGTGAAGAGTGGAGGAAAAGTGTTCTTTTCTGTTAAGTTATGCAAAATGCCTCTTGTCCACATTCTTTCTTTCTCTGCTAAAATAAACTGCAAACAGCAGGTGGAGGCTCCGCTGTCTTTCTTGCCCTGGAGTAGCAGTGATTCCCTGGGGCCTTGGGGTTTCATGTTGAAGTTATTTTTCCCACAACCTGCTCTGTGTGCTGGGGGGAAGCAGCTGCCTAGGAAAGTTTATTTTATAGACTCTGTTTTTGGGGTGCGTGGGGCAGCCTGTGTGCTCCCCTTGCCCTTTGCCTGGCCCCAGCAAGCACAGAGGCACCATGGAGGTGTGGGGGGCCAGGCAGCGCCCAGAGCCCAGCGCATCCCTGAGCAGGGATTTGGCCCTGGCTGCTTGGAGAGCACTGGGGCAGCTGGAGAGGGGCTAACACACACCAGCTGGGGCCAGCCCATCCTCACAGCCCAGTCCTGGCTGGGGAGAGCTTGCAGAGTTTGCTGCAGCCCCGTGTCCTAGCGGGGTGATGTTTTCTCCCTAAGTCCTTGCTGATGTCCTCTGCAGCACAGAGAAGCATTTCTGTCTCCCAGGTAAATATTTTTGGGGAGGTGTGTGTGGTTGTGGCAGCTCCTGTGCCTCGTTTGAACTGCTGTGTGTGGAGATGGGACACCTGCTTGGACAGGGATGGATTTGCAGGGTTTGGGTGTAAGTGGGGCTGTGCTGGTACCTTTCCCTGGTACCCAAGGGAAAGGCAGCACTACTGAGGGAACACCAGGCTCCAAGGGCACTCTGTAGCCAGTCAGACACAATAAATCCAGTGTTCCCCAGGGATCCCAGGCTGTGAACTCTGATCCCTCACAGCCCTGCAGCACCCAGGTGGCTTTGCAGGTAGCCCTGTGCAGAGGGGCCCCCAGAGGGGCTCCTTGCCCCCTCCTGGGAGCCATGAGCCCCTTTTGCCCCTGCTCTGGCAAAGCCACAGGATCTGACCCATCTCAGATGAGTAAAGCATTGCCACAAAATTGTCTGGTCCCCCTTGGTGCCACCATCTTAGAAATATAGCATTCCAAAACAATGCCTTGCCAGAGTCATCACGCTGGGTGCAATTGAGGTCAGTGCTGAGGCTCCTGTGGGAGCTTGGAACTGCTTCCTCAGATGGCAGTGGAGATTTCAGCTAAGATGTTTCCACTTGGAGTGAAACTAGAAAATTGGTAGGGGTAAATAATGGTGTTGTAAGTGGAATGTGTGTACTGGAAAAAGTTTCTAAAATGAGAAAGTGCTGTCATCCCTGATATTATAATATACATATATATATAAATGGATAATACATATAAATCAAACAATTTTATTTTTATTGTATTTTAAAATTAATATCCACACTATTAATATATTTATATGGAAAGTTAGCTATTTGTGTCGTTTTCAGTTCTGGACTTCAGCATTGGATGTGTTTTCTAGAGGCTTTTGTTTCACCTGAAAATGATAAATTATGTATGGATGACAACAGTGTGTGAAGAAACCAGCTGTTTAAAGAGAAAGCTCTTGGATGCAGCAAGGTGGATAAAGCTGATGTGGTCTGTGGCAGAAAAGGGTTTGGAGAGCCAAGTGTGGAGCAGGACGTGTGTGCTGGGCTCTTGGCTCTGGGCTGTGCTCCTGGCTCTGCGCTGGAGCTGTCACAGCACAGGAGCGGGGACAGCACAGCCCAGTGTCCCCTGGGGCTGGCCGTGCCCCAGCCTGTCCCGGGGCAGGGCTGGGGCTGGATGGACAGACACCCACGGGGAGACGCTGCTGCCTGCACGGTGCTGGCTCCCGGCTGCCCTCCCCAGTTTGCTTTCCCTGCTCCTGCTGTGCCTCCTGCCCAGAGGAGCTGGGAGTTCATCGCGGCTGGGGATTGGAATGCCTCCAGCCAAACAACTGTCTTTTTTCCCTGCAAGTGGTATGAGATGTTTCAAAAGAAAGGTTAAAACCTTCCCTTGGGAAAGTGTTTGAAGATCTGGGCCCTACTGTGGTTCAAAATATTGCTAATGGGGAGCCCAATGGAAGCTGTCACCTCCAATTAACATCTTCATTTCCAGGTAAAAAGAACTGAACATGCATGACCTGAAAGTCAGGACCAAAGTTAATAGGGGCTTTGTTTCCCAGCCCCCCCCCCGTCTTTCTCCTTTGGCTCCAGGGTCTTTACTTAAAAATCAACCCTCTGTCCTTGCCAGTGTCTTCTGTTTCACAGTAATCAAATAAAATTCAGAAAACAACAGGAGTTTTCACCTCCTTAATGAACTTCTAGTGGATCTGGCTTGATGAAAGATGGGCCACGCCCATTCTCTGGTTCCATACTCTGCGTGGCCTGGAGCAGCTCCAGATTCCAGGCTGAACTTCTTTATTTTTCTGTTCTCCTTGTCCCATAACCCCTCACTCCCTTGTTATCTTGAATTTCTCCCTCCCGACTTGCTCTGTGGTGCAGGCAATGGGAAACCTGGCAGCAGCAGGACTCTCTGCCACCTTTCCTGCACATCACTTGCAAGCGACTGATTCCCGAAGGTCTTTCTATGACGCTGATTTTCTTAGGGGTTGAACACATTCTTTTGTAATGCATGAAGGCTGGAGTAAGTGTGAACAGTGTGTGATGTGGCCTGGGAGTGAACCAAAATAGTCCCTACCCTCCTTGTACCCCATTTCTGAGCTGCAGAGGCAATATTGCCCCCAGCCCTGGCATTGCAGTGGGGAGGGATGGGCCTGCCTGCACCTCTTTGATTCCTTTTATTCCTACTTTGGTTGTTTCCTGAGACGTGCTGCTGGATGCTGTGACACAGGACATGGATGTCACAGCTTGTGGGCACGCTGGTGCTGCCCTGGCACAGCCTGGTGAGGATTTTCCTCCCCAGTGATTATCTTGACTGCTCCAGTGCCTGGCTGGGCTGGGCTGGGCTGGGCTGTCCTTTTCTCTATTAATTCACTTAAGATTTTTTTCTCCCATAAATGACTGAGACAATGAGAGCTGCACGGCTGAATCATGAGCTTTTTCTTGTGCATTTCCCTTGGATTTAATTGCCTGAGCAGTGGTTCAGCTCCTGCCCTGAGGCCAGGATGCCGCAGAGTAGTTCCCTTTGACAGAGAACAAAAATATCTCGGGACCAAGACCATGCTTTGAGCAGCTCAGAGAGAACATTACAGACTGGCTGCAGCAGTGAGCCCCCTCACCAAAAACCCCAAAGCCCTGTGATAAATGATGTTACCCATCTGTGCAGTGGGGTCAGTGTTAATTCCCACAGCTTTAGCACATCCCAAATGTCTGCAGCAGGGAGAGAAGGAGCAGTGGGGCACAGGGAGGTGAGCAGGGTTTGTGCTGTGTGGGTCCCAGTGGATGTTGGCTTAGCTGAGGTGCCCCTGCTGATCTGCAGGAGGGTTTCCCATCCCACATGATGCCATCTGCTCCCTGCTGCCAGGGAATGAGTGGGACAGTGGGAGCCAGTGGGGACAAACCTGCTGGGACTTGGATCTCCTTCTGGGCAGTGTGAGGGCTCGGCTGCAGCAGCCATGCTCCTGAGAGAGGCATGAGTCAGGCTGCATTTATACAGCCTGCAAGCTGCTGGTGTGTAATGGCACCTGAACTAATTGCCAAAGCTCGGTGAAACTTCCAGCAGCACCAGATCCCCTCGGAGAAGCTCAGAGCTGCCAGGGGCTCCTCCAGGCTGGGGGCCCTGGGAGGGGGCTGGCTCAGCACAGGAACCATGTCATGCCAGGGCCCATTGTGCTTTTGATTGTCCCCTTTTGGTACCCCGAAAGTCTCTTCCTCTTCTGTGGCCAAGGATTTCCAGGTCTCCTGAGGAAACTGCCTTGGTGGGGAGAGCTGGCTGAGGGCCAGTGCCCCGTCCCTGTTTGGCACAGCTCTGCAGCACAGTCACCTAAAAAGGGTGGCTGTGTTTCTCATTAACCACTTTTGCTTTGCTGGGGCTCGGTAACTTGGCTGGAAACTTTCCCTCCTGGGTGCAAATTGCCAGAGCTGATCAGAGGTAAAGCACAGATCTGACAGGAGCACAATTCCCACTGCGGTCCCTGCTCAGAGAGCCCGTCAGCCTTGAAGGACACAGAGCCAGAGCACAGGTGATGGGAGAGAGAAAAGATTCACAGCTGGCACTGTGCATGTGGGTGCCTGGAGCTGGTCAGAGAGGACAGGGCTGCTCTGAAAGAGCTGATGCTGCTCAGCAGCCCTGGCTGCTGTCCCCAAGCAGGGTCCTGGGCACTGCGCTCCTGCTGTGCTGGCAAAATGTAGCTGTATTTGGGAATCTACCAAAAAAGTCTAGTCCAGCTCTCAGGGTTACCATGGCAACTAGATATTTGCTCATTTGTATTTCTTGAAAATTATACTGGGCTGCTGATTGCCTCGTTTGTGCAGCTCTTTGTCAGGACGCCAGCAAATCCCTGTTTGTCAAGGGCTGTGAGGGAGCGAGTGCTGCTGTTGTTGAGCAGATTTCTGAATGGGAACTCTGCTGGAGTGTGGGTGTGTTATGACAGCGTCCTCCCACAGACACCCAGGAACAAACCCCTGGCCTAGGAAGAGGGTGCTTGCTCTGCTCATCCCCTCTGACATCATTTGTTCTTTTGCTATTGCTTGGGTTAACATAAAATCCAAGTGACTTGTGATGGGAGACTCAGGCTGGGATGGGGGAAGGCTTGACAGAAAGCTCTCTTCTTGCATGGAAAGAAACTCAAAATATCCTCTGGCTGTTCTTGAGACTCAGACACAGGACAGGAGAGCAAGAGATTTACCTGTGTCCCCAAGTGTCCAGGGGAGGAGGTGAGAGCCACACGAGTGGAGGGGCCCCAGGAGCAGCACCCACAGTGAGATGGGCTGGCTGTGCTGCTGCTCACAGGGGAATAACCACCCTCCTCTGCTTCCAGAGTGCACAGAGACTTGCAGCAATACCAGCTCACATT